GAGCTGGCCTTTTGAACTCTTAGCATTTCCTTTTATTTGTCAGTTTAGTTTCACTAAACCAACCGGGAACTACTGGTATTTTATTTAAATTACGATATTTAACTCTCGTTATATTGAAGTCAAACTATTGTGACTTCAAATTACATTAGCTGTGATTACAAATCAATAATTTTGTATTTCTTATAATTTATATATAAAAAACAATTTTTTTTATGGGTGAAAATGGTAAGGTAACCCCGCCTGCGCTATCGGGATACGCTGGCGGATCACCAGTGAAGGGTGGTAGATGAAAATGAAAACAGGGCAGTTAGCCCATCATGATGAATTCATCAGGAATTAACCATAATAGTATCCAGGGAGAACCGCGAGGAGGTCGACCTGGTTGGGTATATTGCTAGCAATGGGATTCTCAGTCTCCATTACTAATCATCAGGATCACTAAGGATCAGGATAAAAAGTACCCTATAGTATAAGTCCATCTCATTTAGTACGTATACAAGAAATTTTATAGTGATTGGCTAAGCTACTAAGGCGCTGCTTGAACGCGTTGAACTCTTTTATTTGATTGTACGAGTTTACTTTTAATTCATATTTTTACTATTAAATTAAAAGTACTTTCACAGTTTAAGTTGTTGAATTTATAATTTAAGTGTGAGGTATTTTTTAAAATTAGGGTATGATGAGGCTGACATATCCTTATAGGATAAAAGCCTCTAAATAAAAAAGATTAAAAAATCATGTAACATATAGTTTACCACAATGACTGATATTTATCGCGATTGAAAAACAGTATATGTATACAACAAATACAAATTGTATTCCATACTTGTTTTAGCTTTTACCCGTGACTTCGTCCGCGTGAGCTACAAATTAATACTACTACTATGTGAATTACTACTGATTAAGATAAAAAGCAACCTATATCCTTCTGCACTCCATATAATACGTGTATACCAAATTTCATGGTAATTAGTTAAGCTACAAACAAACCAACAAACTTACTTTCACATTTAAAATATTAAATGATTATTTATAGGCTCGCAATAATAATAGTTCAGTTGGAAAATGCTTAAGTGTGATCAGGAATCTTAGTATTAAATATCGCCCTAGATCTTTGAATTTTATAATCTACGTTAGACGTCTATTTATATACTAACGTAAATGGAAAAGTTTGTCTGTTTGAACGTGTTAATCTCTAGAACTATCAGCCGAAAATAAAAATATATTTGCTTTTGCTGTTATTGAAAGTGATAAATATAGAGGAAGACAGTATGTAAAAGTTCTAACGAGCGCTAACATTTTTACCTAGATATTTTCGTATAGCTAACGGCTTTGTACGCGTTGAACTCTTTTGTTTGACGGTACGAGACTTCTTTTAACTTTTAATTCACGTTTTACTAATAAATTAAAAGAACTTTCTACAGTTTATTTTCTTGAATTTATAATCCAAGTAACGTGTAGTTTACTACAATAATTGTTATTTTTTGTGATAGACTATACATTAATACTAACAATAAATATCGTAACTCCCGTGTTTTTTTTTTTGATATGCCAAGTGCTAGGAATAATATTTCATTAAACAATCCAATTTTAAGAATGTATTGGTCTTATAATAATATTGTAAGTGCCAAAATGGTGTAAAAATTAATGTATTTGGTCAGAAGTTCAGAAATTTTCGTCACGACGTATGCGTATTATTTTACTCTATAGTAAGCAAAATAATCTCTTTTATTATACATAAATGGCCGTGTGGTCCCTGCTTAAAATAGGCTACCCCTTCCTTTCCCGTGGGTGTCGTAAGAGGCGACTAAGGGAGGGGCAGTAACATACCTCTTAAAACAACTCCAAACCCTAACCGTTGTTTCCAATCCGCCTGCTAAGCGTGGAAACTACTGGCAAAACCCCCAAAGGCCTGTAAAAGCCTAATATGATGATTATAATGATGACTGTCCAATGAAGAAAATGAAACATTAAATTAAACATAAAAAAAATCTATTTTTATTTATTCCACTATTGGACATCAGCAGACATGTCAATTATTCATTTCTTAACGTTTCCATTAAGTTGTGTTGAAACAAATTATGCGTATAAGCGATATCACAGTTCCGGATGTCAATTTAATTTTTTTGTCCACTTTTAAACTATTTCTAACAAGTCACCAACAAAAAGGTATCATAATAAATGCAGGTTAAGTATGCGTGACCGAATCAAATTTAAAATTAAATAAATAATATTTGAAGTGGACCGTTTATAGTCGGATACACGCGGATACAGAGCCAGTATAATGTTAATTACCGTGCGATCTCTTATCGTACGTAAAAACCAACGAATCCACTACAAAGTAGACATGGGGAATGTGGATAACAATCCGATATCTATATATTGGGTTTCTCTGGATATTGATAGGGGAAAAAGGTCTTCAGCATATATCATATGGTCCATATCATTCAGATATTTATTTTCGAATATATTAAAAGTATGTTATCCAATTTTATTTTTTGGATAACAGAGGGCCTACCATGAAATGTCTTCCGAAATTTCGGGTCGGACGAAACGCAAATTTGATCTATAATTACATAATACAATTCGTTTAAAATTACATAATAGTTTTTAAAATATTTAATATACTAAAATATTGTTCCTAATAGGCGACGTGCTGAAGAAGGACCAAATCAAAAGTACCCGTAACCGGCGAGCGTGTATGAAAAGATTGATGAATGTGAAAGAAGCGAAAGAGGTTTGTTTGAATCGAAGCATTTGGCGTTCCATTGTTTCTGCCTGCCCTAATGGGAGACACGCGTGACAGATATGTATATGTATGGATGTAGGACGAACAAAACATTAAGCTTCATTTACTGGGCCAATTTCAGTATGAACGAAAACACGAAATTGAGTTCGAAAATTCGAATTTCATTTCATGGTAGACCCCCACGTTTTTAACATATTCGTTACTGGACATATAGATATTGTAACTAAAATATATAGATATTGTTATAAATTATCCACCTCTTAATTACCATGCGATCTCTTATCATACGTAAAAACCGACGAATCCTCTATAAAGTGTAATCTATGAGCCGTGCCACTGAACCTTACTAAATGTTTACTATACAGGATTTCCGACGCGTCGAGGCGAATGTTGCAAGTGTCTGCAACAATTCCCTTGAATTTTATCGTAGATATTATATACAAACAAACAAATAAATCTTTTCTGTTTATAATATTAGTATATAGACTCGCGTTCCGCCCCGGCTTTACACTAGTAGATAGAAAGATAAAGTAGTAAATAAATTTTCGATACCTTGGATTATATTATTGTAATTTTTGTAGATATTATTTTTCTTGAAAATAATATATAATCTGTATTATTAATTGATAATTTGGCTTTCTATAGGTGAAAGAAATTTTAAAACCAATTGAGGAGTTTTGGGTTTAATACACTTACTAAATTTGTACACTTTTAGTAACTAGGAAGAGAATCTTTGCCAATTCTGAATCTATTTTAATACTTAATTATATTTGCGATTGTTAGAGTTTTCTATTACTGGGATCTCATGAGCTGAGCACTTACGTTGTCTCCTGACTTTCCTTCACTTCTTGTATACTGCAGTCATACCAATTGTCTAGATGAGATACTGTTAATTGTATCCAAATATAATCAACGAAGAAGTTGAACTTGTATTACAAGTTCAACTTATCAACAGGTGTTCAATACATGTTTAGACCACTAAAGTAATACAAAAACGTGTCTGACATCTGTCTGTGTCAAAACAAAATTAAGTTTATCTTTTTAAAAATAACAAAATTGTGTTTAATAAAATTGACTTCAATTCTGGCAAAACCATTTATTTTTGTTTTAAAAACTAGTGAATCGATTTTGATATTTTTTTATGAGACCAATCTGAAAGTGTATTTTTTCAGATAAAAGAATATTTTTTCAAATACGTTTATTTAAGAGTTATGAGGTAACAAATATAAAAGAAATATACCACCGAATTGGTATCCTCCTCCTTTTGTTGAAGTCGGTAGAAAATTATTTCAAATAATAAATTTCATTGCAAATAAACACACACCCAGAATAACAACATCATTAAAATGTTTAATTACGTAGACAGAGTTTGGTTAAACACTGTTTAAATAGTGTTTTACATTATTCTTGTATTAAGACTCAACATGTTTGGTACAAATAAGCCATACTCTCGCTCATTCTAAACATAGCGTGAAATGTCAAAAAACCTCCCAAAAAACGGAACGGTTTGCGAAAGTATCATTACTGGTTTAGTAATCATGTTGATTTCTGGTTTAAATTGACATTTGAAATATTTACATCTTACTCAACTTTGCTGATGTCGAGAAAATTATATTTATTTAGCTTCACAGGAAGTAATTATTGGTTTTGACATATTACAATGTTACAAAAATTGCCATGTAACTTATTCCGTATTCGTGGTAATAGGTATACGTATATATCACGCTTGTCTCCAATTGGGGTAAGCAGATACAATGTTTAGATATGTACATTATTTATAGATTGTTTATGTTACATATTTTTATATATAATAATCGTATTATGATTAATTGTTATTTTGAAACATTTATATAATTATTTATTATTTATAGATATACTGTCATTTTACAAAATGTCATTTTGGTTTAACTGTAACAAAATTCATAAACATATGACTAAAATCACAGAACAGTTACATTAGAAGATTTTTTAACTGTTATCCAAACAAAAATTGAATTTAAAAGACGAGTTTCTCTAATTTAATTTAGTTTTTGGCGTTTGTTATAATAAAAAAATACTAAAAGAAATATTTTAATTGTCAAATTTTTTGTATAGATTACATTCGAACTTACTACCACTACAGACCTTTTTGAATAAGTAGTGTAAACCTCTAGGTCACGATGTTTTAAAAAATCAGTGATCCTTCAATTTATTCTATATTTAAATTAATAATTTTTAAAAATAAACAAAATGTTTAATTAAACAAACCTACCGTAAAAACACTGGCACTTAAGAAAATACCCAAATAAAGAATAAAACAAAATTAATTCAAAACTGGAACACTTCGTAAACGTCTCGCACGGACCTCACGAAATCAAACTTGTCGACGGTAAACGGTTTTCGTTGCATCGCTGCATGTAGTGCGGTGATACGACGCGTATGCGTTGCGTCGCGGCGCGTTCGATACTGAAGTCAGCTGGCCGGCCGGCCGAACGTGTGCTAATCGCACAAATACACCACGCATAATCAGTCGGGATTGCTATTGAGCTGTTAATAAGAAAAAAAATATAAATTATAGAAATAAAGGTTAAGTTTAGTAACATAAAGGATAAGATAGTCCAATAGTAAAAAAATAAAAATGTCTTTTCCGTTCTTTTCTTTTCAACAATCCCAAAATATTAGAGAGAATGCAGATTAGGATTGACTTTTGATGATCTTTATAAATTAGTATCAATAAGTAAACTTATAGATGCATAGAATGTAAGATCATGACAAAGTTCGAAAATTAGTCCCGAGTCGTTAGCCCAAATTATGGATTGGTCGATTCAATGGAAACATGGACACATGGAAAAGCATAGCTATTATTCATTGTCATGTTTTCATTGTTATGCTTGTTTATTTTATTGTGAATATTAGTTGATAACAGTAGTCAGTTACTAGTTAACAATACACAGATGAAATGCAAAAAATAATATAAAGGATACTCGCATTAAATAAATCTTGTTTTCGATTCTCCGTCGAAAACTTTATGATTTTTTTTTATAACACAGAGAACAAACCAGCATGTGGCTCATCTGACGGTAAGTGACTTTTTTAATTTACTCACATTATGAGTTATTTATTTCTTTATATATTTATTGCCAATGTTTCATACTACAGAGTATCCTAGCTTGATGATCTGACAATTCGTGTAATTGTATCTCATATTAAGTAAAAATTTACTAGCCTTTTAAAATTTACCAAAAATCAAACTGCGGTTGCCAACCCGCCTGCTGAACGTGACAATTACTGGCAAAACCTCTCTTATGGGGGAGCTTCTCTATGTTTAGCATTGGACAGTTAATGTCTGACACACTAACAAAACACACTAAAGTAATTTCTGTCACACTAACACCACTTTCACTGCGACACACCTGACATAACCGAATCAACCTACTTACAAGGCAAAGAAAGCAATGCCTTAGGTGACATATTGTTGTCCAAACACGGTTTATCTTCTTCCGCCTCCTTCGCACACACACGAAAACCAGTTAGTGATGGTGCGATAGATATATTTAGAGAAAAGTGGTCAGATTCGGTGATCACCCAATAAATCGTCAGTTAATCAAATTCTGTGGATAGTGTTGAATTCTCGATATCTATTACGAAATTAAACCTTTTCATGATAAAAATAAGATTTTATTTCGGTCGATAATTTAGTAAACAACTATTCACAAGCTATAAGATTATAGAAGATTATGATTTATCACCTGTTATGTCAACGTAAAATTTTGCTCAACAGCGTAATATGTATAAAATTGTATTACGTGCAAGAGTCATCTCAAATACGCAGAACGGAAAACGTTAATAGACTTGTTTATTTTTTATTATAAATTCATAATCACTTTAAAAATACTTCTACTTTTATTTACTATTTTATTTTTTACCAGAGGGAGACCTTGTACAAAAGTCGATTGCTTGGGTACCTCTGTCCTATTCGTGTTTCAACCGTAAAGCAGTTGTGTTTGCATGGCTGTGTTTCGGTTTGAAGGGTGGTATATGGTGTGAATGTACTGGGTACAGAGGAATAACACCTAAGTCCTCAGGAATGTCAACGCATGAGGGGTATCATGGGCGAAACAGTATACTCTGTTGTGTCCATGGTACTAATCATATCTATAGGCGACGGTTACTACTTTCCATCCGGTGGGCTGTCAGCTTGTTTGCCATTCTAAGTTGTATAAAAAAAAAAATTAATATTAATTTACATTTTCAAAATGTATAATACCTACTTAGATTTTTAACGGACTTCAAAAAAAGAAGGTTCACATTTCGATTGATTTTGTTTTATATTTGGTACCTCTTGACTCTATCATTTCTAAACCGATTTGGAAATTTTTTATTACCTTACAAATTGGTCTCATGGAAATTTAATCAAAATCGATTCAGTAATTTAATTTTTAGACCAAAATAATTGGTTTTGTCGGAATTAAAGTTTTTTTTTTTTTATGGGACACAGTCTTTTTTATTTTCCGTGTAACTATAAATATGACGTATTCTTGTCACAGTTTATTATGTATGTAGTTTAAAACAAAATATGATGGAATGAATGTACAAACATGTTTATTGAATAGTAGTCGGCTAATAAAGGCTTTGCTTGAGTAGTTAGATTTTTTTAAAATAAAATAATAGCTTATTCAATGATAGTGTAGCTTACTACAGATGAAAGAATTATTAAAATCGGTCGATCAATTTGTGAGTTTATCCATTATAAATAAATAATCAAATCTTTACTTTTTCTAATGTTAGTAAGGATAAAAATCATATGTAAATGTCTAGGCGTGGAGTTCCTGGCGTAGAATAGGTCACCCATTCCTTTCCCGTGGGTGTCCCGTTACTAAAAACTTTTCAACTAATTTTCCGCTAAAAAAAACGACTATAAAACAAATTATATTATTCCGGGGGGAAATGGATTGTTAGTAACGGGGTCAAATAGCCCCATTACTCGTACTATTAATATTCCCTAATCGACCTATTAGTTCCCCCTGGAAACCATCATGTTTAATTCTAGTTGAATTCGTTAGGATGGACTAACTGACCTGTTTTCATCCTCATCTGTTATCTCTCACTGGTGCCTCGCCAGTGTACAATACCATTATCACCCATTAAAATATATATATATATATTATTCCAAATTATGACGGAAGGCTCCAAACCAATTCAAGAAATCCAATGTGGTAGGAGACACCCTGCCACATTGGATAATATTAATACTCGACAAAATGTTATAGAGTAGATTGTAGAGTAGTACCTAGTTGTAAGTACATACTCTTTATTGCTCACAAAATAGAAGTATACATAAAACATTTATAGTATTTTTTTTTTATACAACTTAGAATGGCAAACAAACTGACGGCCCACTTGATGGAAAGTGGTAACCGTCGCCTATAGACATTAGCAGTACCATGGACATAACAGAGTATACTGTTTCGCCCATGATACCCCCCATTCGTTGCCATTCCTGAGGACTCAGGTGTTATTCCTCTGTACCCAGATTTCTACCATTATGCAAAGAAGGGTTAAGATAGAATCAATTGAAAGCAATTTTCATGACAATTTTATGGCCGGTTTTTTTGGATATTCACAACTTTCTTTTTGTATCTGTCTGCATATTAACATACCGATAGATAGAATGCGGTCTGTTTGTAAATTTCATTTGAGATAAGTAGTGATTTATTATTAGTAATTTAAAAAAAGTTACTAAGTCTTTTATGGGAATGGGCATTAAATGTTATAATATAACATTTAATGTATAAGATACCGAAGGATATTTTTTATTTACATTTTAATAAGTTTAAATCTGTTATTAAAAAATCTCTTATTGAACAAAGCCTATAAACGATTATTTGAATGACAAATGTATATGGTGTTGTTAGTGACCTTGTAATTCGACAAATTGTACATTTAAGTGAATACATATAATATTAACAAAGATTTAAAAGAGTAACTGTTGATTTTCTTGCAGGCTATTCTAAACAGGTAACAGTTTTTCGAACTCTGATTTAAAAAAAAAACGTTTTGAAAGTGCTTATAAATAAGTCTATTTGAATAAAGATGATTTGAATTGAATTTAAAGTTTTGTCAATTGTTTCTTTTTTTTTTAATTCGGTATGAAGGATGAGACATGGAAGTAGAATTATTAAGCTGTATCCAGCCTACAGCTCGTGTGAAATTAAACAGTGAACTAATTTCTAGATGTTCATATATAATTAAAGTCACGCTATAGTCATTATAAATTATTTATTTACTTAACTCTTTATTGTACCAGAAATATAAAAATATACAATGACAATGACATTATCTTTAAAAAAAAACGTTGATGCTCACTTTTTTCCTTTATCCAAACAATAAGTACCATATATTATTCACAATTTCGTGTATAGTTTATTTTATAAATGTATATTTGCAATTTATATATATTTATTGGTTTATATATGTAATTTTAGTATGTATATATATCAATAATTACTAGTACCGCATTCGATTATTCCGACACTTCCCTATGGTTGACTGAGAGAGAATACTTTTAGCATTAAGTCCGGCATATACACATAATTTTTATACAACACATAATTAATTGTTCACTATTGAACATAGGCCCCATAACAGGAGGTAGGCCTGTACTTGCAACGCATGGCAGTTGGTTTGGCAATCACAGTTAGGCTCTTGATGACGTTTTAAGAGGAACGCTGCCACCCATCCCTCGACCATTACATTTTCTTAGTCGCCTCTTACGACACTCAAAGGGGTGACCCATTCTATGGCAGGACCACACGATAACAAGTGAAAATTATTAGCTAACAATTATCGTACTGGTCAGGCGACTTGTGGAGTACGGTAAGTAGAGAAGTATGGTAATTTTGATTGAAATTATCACAAAAATACTCTTTAAATGAAATTAGTAGCGAATTGAAACATTTAATCAATTAGTCGATTTTTAATTTATACTACTATCGAACATCATCAGACTCGTCACTTTGCCTTTTTTACCATTGAAGGGCCCCGCAATTGATCACGATCGCACCTGATGGAAAGCGATGATGTGGTCTTAGATGGAGCGCCCAAGTCTACAAAAAACTTATTCACGTCTCTATAAATTAATCAAAATTATTCGTTTGTCATTCGCCATGTGGTTCCGACATAGAATAGGCCACCCCCGTGAGTGTCGTAAGAAGCGACTAAGGGAGGCCGAGAGATAGGCAGCAACGTCCCTCTTAAGACATTTCCAAAGTCTAACTGCGCCTGTCAATCCGCCTGTCAACCGTGGCAGCTACTGGCAAAACCGACACAGACTTATGTTCAGCAGTGGACAGTTAAAGGCTGATATTATCATATCGAAATATTATATATACGATGGTCCGTTTATTTACATTTCCATTAAGTTCAATTGAAACAGACTGTATTGTACTTTGTTCCCTTAGTCTCTTCTACAATACATATACAATACATCCTGAAAATGACCTTT